CACCAGCCCGCTCGCGATCGACGTCCGCCGCCATGGTCCAGGCTATGGCCACGCCTCGATCCACCTTGCCACAAGTGGCGGCGGCGGCAGCAGCAGCAGCGGTGTGCTTGGCTTGGCTTGGCTTGGCTGCCACGCTAGGCAGGCGTGGCCGGGACGGACGCATAGCGCGCCCGACGGATCTCGACCTCCGGCGGCTCCCTCGACGCACCGGCCGGCCCGTGCCGCGTCTGGCTCGCCCTCAGCTTTCTGCTCGGGGGCCACCTTGACAGCTTGTCTTTGCCAGGATCCTCCTGACCGCTGGTCGCTGCCGCCTGTGCCGAGCCACGCACGGCCAGACGGCCCCTTGAGGTGAGGAGGACACGTTGGGACCGTCATGGCGGCCGGTTCCAGGCTGGTTGGCTGGCATCATCAGAGAGCGCCGCCAACCCCACACCACACCACCACTCTACTGCTTCATGACGACCGACGCAGATCGAGATCGCCTCTGCCGCCATCTGGGCGTTGCTTCCCAGTCTACCTACCTGTTGGCCATCTCGCCCATCCCTCTCTCTCGCGCCGCCTTCGCCCTCACGATGGCATGCCGCGCGCGGCTGCCAATGCCGACGCCGTTGGGTCATCCAACGGCCACCGGTACCTACGGGGCTCCGAGGGTCGACCATGGGGTCCATCCATCTCTCAGACCGAGACCTGGCGCCAGCTTGCAGCCCTTCTGGTTCTCTGCGACGTCGTCGTAGCCGTCGCCGGCGTCGCGCTTGGCGTCGCCGTCGGCTGACCAGCCCGTCATGTGGCTAGCGTATCCTGGCTCGCTCGCCAGCAGCAGGGCACGACGCCGCCCCCAGCCGCCATACAGTCAGATGGCCATCAGGGCGGGTCGTCGTCTGGTCGCGGTGCCAGGGCTGGTCGACGACGAACCAGAGAGCCCCGCTGACCCGTCGGGACCGCGTGTGGCAGGCCGCGCCGGCTTCCCTCGCGGCTTACGCAATGCCAGGACGGAGTGGCGCCACGGGCGAAAGCCGGCATGCTGGCCCCTCGCTCCTACCTACTGAGCCTGCCGCGCTGGCTTACCCGATACGAACGACGGCCAAGAGGCACGCTCACGCCCGGTCGCAGCCAGCCCTCTCGACGTCGATGGCCGCCCGATGGTACCGCTCCCCCGTGGTGACTCGAGGGACCTCTCTCGCCTTGGCAGGTCCGGATGCATGTTGCGTTGGCTTTCCGACGGCGGAGGCGGCCCCCCACGCGGCGCGGCGCGGCGCGGTGCGGTACGGTGTTCCATCCATCCGAGCTCGCCGAACCACGGCCAGGGTCTGGCTTTCATGCCGAAAGGGTGAGTGAGATCTAGACAGAGCAGCTCTATCTGGCGGTTGCAGCGGCGACCTGCCTGTCACGCAGCGTAATGGCATCCCCGGGTCAACAGAAGCACCCTTGCCCATCGACGGCGTCCATCCTTCTCACTCGCTCAGAGAGACGCCCCAACCCTTCCGATGTCGCTCCTCCAAAGCCAGAGCTGCGGCATGGCTCGGATGGGCTGCTCGTCGTCATGCCACGGCCGACGCCCCGTCCACGCCCTATCAGTCGGACTCACTTCGCAGCACACAGTCCTTGAACAGACGGCTTGCTTTCTCCTCCCATCAACTCAGCATGCCGCACAGGCTGTCACGACTTACGCTTGCCGACCATTGGCCTTGTGTCTGGCGCAGCTGTGATTCTGGCTTCGACCGGACGACAGGTCAGCGGCGTCGAGTCGGTAGCCAGCCTGCAGGCCGCTTCTCGGGATCCTCGAGCGGCTGGCCCCTGGACCCGATGTCGCCCGCCTTCGACGGCGATGCCCGATATTGAGCCCCGCCAGAGCCGGGCCGGCGCCCGACTCCCGAGACGGCGTCGTCGAGGTTTTTCCAAACGGCGCTTCTTCTCGACGCCGCCTCCGGTGGCCTCCACTATGCCTGCCACCTCCCTCCCGCCGCCGCTCTCGCTGTCCCGCTCGCACCGCTTCGGTCTCCTTCCCACTTCACTCGTCACCCCCATCCCGTCCCGAAGCTAGGCCCACACCGACATGGAAGACCTGCTCAGGGCGCTGCGCAACATCGGCCTGGCGCTGCCGGACCCGGAGCAGCTCCTCCAACTCTCTGACCCGGATCCCGAGGTCCAGTCCAACCTAGCACAGCTCATCGCGCTCAACCCGAGCACCCACGAGTACCAAGACGAGCCTCGGGATGAGCACGATGCAGGCGCTGCCGACGGCGATGGCGGCTCAGACGACGGCGACGCTCCCGCCATGGATCCCCTCATGGACGCCGATCTCTTCCGCGGCGCCGTCCAGGCGCTCCTCGAAAACTACAACAAGTTCATCGACAAGGAGCGCGATGCCCTCCAGCGCGAACACGCTGCCCTCGCGTCGCCCAAGAAGATCAAGCCGGTCCCCTTCCGCGCCCTCATGGCACGTCAGGACGCCGAGATCAAGAGGAGGGCAGAAGAGGTCCACGCCGCCGGCTGCGACCCCGACACGGGCCGCAAGCGCAGGCGCTTCTACCTGCCGCGCCAGACTTTTGACGGCTACGGCAGCTACGCCTCCGACAAGCCCCTCGTCGACCTCTCCCGGCTCGATGCAGACGACTTTGCCGCGCCCAAGCGCTTCGAGGGCCGCTACCTCCTCTGCCGCGTCGCCTCCCGCCTCAACCTCTACGTCAGCTGCACCTTCATCGCCACCCTGCCCTCTGGCCACGCCATCCCCGTCTCGATCTCTCACTTTACACCAAATCTCCATCTGTCCGGCGCCGACCTCGATGCCCACCTGCCCATCGGCACCGTCCTGGCCATCCGTGAGCCCTACATCAGCCAGAACCACTTTGGCAAGGGCGGCCCGGCGCTCGGCGGCAAGAACGTGCCCGGCGTCCGCGTCGACACGCCGTCCGACGTCCTCATCGTCGATGGGCTCGGCCAGCACGACGAACACCTGCTGCAAGGCGTCGAGTGGCAGGCGCTGCAGGTCGAGGCTGCACCGGCAGACCATCTTGCGACGATCGAGGACATCTGGAAGCAGAGCCCCTGCGCAGCCAACACCAAGGGCTGCCGATGGCTGCAGGACGGCCCGCTCTCGAGGTTTGCCGCAAGACGGCTTAAGGCCCACCAAGAGCAGCGGGAAGGCTCCACAAGTCATCAGAAGCTCGAAACCGCACTCGAGGCACTCGACGAGGCCGAGCGGCGGGCGCTCGCCCAACGCACCCGTCAGCTTGCCGAATCCCTGCTCCAGCACAACCGCCCTGGCGCGGCCCTTCGAGAGGTGGCAGCGGCGCGCCTGCTGCGCGTCCTCGGCCAGGATCCCAAATTCGACGGCCGCGACCTGGAGCTCGAGGGCCGGATCCTGCACCATCTGGGCGACTACGAACGGGCCAACGCCGCGTTTGAAGCGGCGCTCAAGCTGGCCGCGGCGGCGGGCGAGGATGCCGCCTCGGCGGGAGAGCGCGTCTACCCGCACCTCGTGGCGGCGCGGGCGGCACAGCAGTCGGCGGCCGAGGGCCCCAGCCACGAGAACGTGTGGTCGTACTACTTTGACTCGTCGAGCTACCCCACGCCGCGATTCGACCAGGGCGACTGGCTCGGCGCCGTGGCCGTGCAGGACATTCCGGGCGCCGGGCGCGGCCTGGTGCTGACGAGGGACGTCGAGGAAGGCGAGCTGCTGCTGTCGTGCAAGGCGGCGGCCAGCAGCTACGCCATCGACAGCGGCTGCAAGGGCATCTACCTGCTGCGCTACACGGTCGAGACGGGCGTGACGAGCACCACGACCCAGGTGCTGGCGGCCACCAAGAGCATCCACGCCATGCTCGACCGGCCCGAGCGGGCGCTGCCCATCATGGGCCTCACCGCCGGCCCGGGCGTCCCCGACTCGCGCTGGGTGTCGCAGCCGTACCCGGTGCCGCCCAAGCGATCCTCG